AACTACACCACGCCTGCGATATCCCGAAGCCTGTACGACCTCGGATCTGCCAACGCCGAGGGCGGCACGGACCAGTTCGATTGGAGCATGTAGTGCTCCAGCTCCTGGTATGGCCCCACTCGTACAGCTTCAGGGCATAATGAGACTCAGTACACCACGGAAATGCAAACAACACCAACAATCTCAGCCGATGTCTTGCTGAATTTCATTGCGACTATTCTTCTGATTAATGAAGCGATAACGATGATAACGACCAATACTCACCTAAACGTGACTTCAATGACGACGACGGCGACATCTACCACCACTACTACGAAGACAATAATGATGACAATGAATAGAGATTATGAGCATAGATGTATGACCAGCGGTTTATTGTCATGATTCATTGCAGCGTGGTTCGTACGGTTCTCGCTGATGTTTTACAAAAACTCTTGTAATCTGTTGGTAAAACTTTTGTATGGGACTCGAAGCAGCCAGAATGCAATCGTCATGCAGGGACACCTGTCAATTTCTGTGCTATTGAACACAACGGATGCCAGGCTGCTTCGCGTTCCCTTGCTTCTCGAAGTCTCAAGGCTAGTCCGCAACCCTGGACCAAGCGCCAGCCCTGAACCCCGTGAGCCCGAATCATGAATCCTGAAAACGGAGCAAAGACCCTCTCTGCGCCCCACGTCCTAGTCCCTGTTCCAAGCTTCATAATTTGAGAACCCTTTCAAGCCTAAAGCCAAACAGCCTGCAAGCACATCGATCCTTGCTCCCCGAGCTTTGCAGGGTAGGGGTAGGCTCACGCTCCGGAGGTGCAGAGGAAAGATTCGCCTCGGATGGAGGAGGCCCTTTGGCTTGAGGCTACGAGGGCTTGAACTTGTAAGGCTTTGGAGCGGGACTAGGATTCACACACGGCCCTGGCCTGAAGCAGTCAATCTGGGCATGACGTTCGAACCTGCTGGCACGAAAGCCCCGCGTGGGACCCAGGCCGCCCGTATGCGCTTCTCCACGCCGGTGGTGACGAATCGCACCACCCAGCCTCGGTTCGACTGTCCCAAGCACTAATGTGGATTTTGTTGCTTCTGAGAGCTGAAGGTTTCCTGACGGGCATCACAGAGATGAAGACTTCAATGATGGCGATGACGGTGCCGGTGACAATGATGGTGATGCTAGCATCACAGGCACGATGAATATCAAGGTGCTGCTCAGTGTGGTGGGGCAATGGCCAGGAGGAAAGGATGGATCTGCGTGGTCTCGACAACATGATAACGCTCACGATGCTGAGATGGTGGTGATGATGATAATGGTGATGATGCTGATGCTGATGCTGATGCTGATGCTGATGCTGATGCTGATGCTGGTGCTGCTGATGATGATGCTGGTGATGGTGATAGTGATAGTGATGGTGATGATGATGTGATGATGAGGTGATGGTGATGATGACGATGCTGATGATTGATGACGACGGTGATGAGGCCGGCAGCAATAGCAGCAAAGAAAGGCAATGATGATCGACGAGACAACAACACGGAGCTCAGACGCAATCATGATAATGACAGAAGATGTTGACCTTGACCATGATGTTCGTTGCAGCGATTGGTGATGCTGACGGCGATGATGGTGTTGGTATTTGGCGTGATGCTGATGATAACGAGGATGTTTGGCTGGTGTGGTTCTTCGCGCCGTTGTCGTCTTAGCTATAGTCGGTTGTTACGCGGCCGTTCTTCCTCGTATGCTTGCTTTCGTCTTTGTTGTTGTTGGTGGTTTTTGTGACGGTGTTTGTGGTGTTTGTGGTGCTTGTGGCGCTTGTGGTGTTTGTGGTCGTGGTGGTGGTGGTGGTGGTGGTGGTGGTGGTGGTGGTGGTGGTGGTGGCGGTATGTGGCGGTGTTGTTCTGTCATTGCCGCTGGGGCTGCGGGTGTTGAGCTTGGGGTTGGCGTTGGTGCTGTTGTTGTTGCTGTTAATGTTGTCATTGTTGGTCTTGTTGGTCTTCTGGTACTCATCGTCGTCGTGGTAGGCGTTGTAGCAGTAACAGTAGCAGTAGTAGTGGCAGCAGGAGCAGTAGCAGCAGCAGCAGCAGCAGCAGCAACAGCAGCAGTAGCAGTAGCAATAGCAGTAGCAGTTGCAGTAGGAGTAGGACTACGAGTAGGAGTGAGTGGGGAGTAGGAGTAGGAGTAGAAGTAGGAGTAGTAGGAGCAGTAGTAGCAGTAGTAGTAGTAGTAGTAGTAGTAGTAGTAGTAGTAGTCGTGGTGGTGGTGGTAGTAGTAGAAGCAGCAGGAAGGTAGTAATTGTTGTTGCTGGTTGTGGTGCAGGCGTAGACGTAGGTGTTGGCGTTGCTGCTGTTTTGGCTTTTCCGCACGCGCCGCAAGCAGATAGGCAAAGACAAAGAAGCTCGAAGAAGGCTCACACTGCCACAACAGCACATGAGCCAGTCCAGCGCATGCATCTTCGCTACAATAGCCTATCTTTCGAACCTATGTGCTCAAACGAAAATCGAGGATGTGCGTATTCAAGTAGCCCAGATGTTTAATGCAAATCGAACATTACAGCGTGAAAGTCACCCAAATCACTGAACCCCTGAAAGCCACGCCACCGAACCACACCAGCACCCTCAATGGAGTCAGGTGGCGGCTTGTACCAGGGTCCCATCTCAGGATGAGTGCCTGACACGCTCAATCACTTCGTTATCTAGGAAGCCAGGTCTTTGGGAGTCTCAAGGAGCTGAGGGTGGTCCAGTTCGACAATGACAGGAAGGTAACGCTTGTGTCTTGCGATTAGCCTCAACACTGTTGTGCCTGTTGGCTCGAGCTACAATCGCCGGACAACCTTCCCGAGCCTTCCCCATGATTTCGCAAGGCTCCGCGGCAAGAACCCAGATCCTAAATCCGAAACAAGACTTACACCCTGAACCCGTGTTGGTTTGGGGACAGTCTGCAAAGGCCATGTGCGTACCGAAGCCCTTACCTTGGCAAGAATCGGGGCTCCATGCGCGCAGTCAGTGGGTTCAACTCAAATCACTGTTGTCATGTTCTCAAAGTTCCTTGGACCGGTTTCATCTCGCTTCAGATACCATAGAAGACGCTACCTTCTTCTCATTTAGGTTGCAAGGGTTGTTATTCCTAGTGCCGTTACTCCCCCAATCAATCTGAGACTGTTGCTCTTCTGCTCTGTTTTTTCGTCTACAGCAGCCTGCTCATCGTTCAGTTCCACCGAGCTTCGAAGTCCAGACACCCAGACCTGAGTAGCAGGTATTCGAGACACTCAGGATACGCCGGCGAGGCGAGGACTGTATACAGCATGAGATGCAGTTATGACGTACTCCTGCGCACGGCACGGGCGACAGGCTTTATTCGACATCCACTTCTGACCTCGTGCATCACAAGAGACCCAAAGATAACTCGTAAGATTCATAGCTAATCCAACTGGTTCAATTGAGTACCAAGTCCACCGAAGCCGAACTACTCGCAGCCTTCAGCAGCAAGCTGAGCTTCTGGCCGTCTGCCCGGCTTTTAATCCTCCAGTCTCCCCTCCTGCGAGCTTGTGGAATCGCTGTGAACAAGTCTTTGCTGCGGCACTTCATTTGGGTGAGCACAGGCAGCCAAGCATGACTAGCTTCCAGCTTGCTTCTGCAGCTTCATGCAGTTTCTGTTTGTTCGCGCTGTAGGCTCTAGACGCTCGATATTGCATCGATCTAGCAATCTACGAACCGGGAAATTTGAGGAATCCGGAAAAGCTGCAGCCTCATGCTCACGAACCCACTCACTCCGAAGCCCCAAACGTCCAAATTAGCCAGGACAGTAATCTAGGAATAGAGGCATCTAGAAATGGAGCCACGCGGCTATTTCGCATGACGAGAACGTGGCCTCGCATGAAATAAGATGCATCGGAAGTGCAATGCCGAAGAGATGGCAGGATTACTTTCGCTACGGTGGCAGTTTCACATGCTGCGGTCATGCAGACGAGTATGGCCGCTATGCCAGTGATTTTTGCTTGAGAAACACTTGAGGTTGATTCTGATTGATGTGAAGTTCTTGCTTCGTCCGATGTCTGATGCATTCTATATGCCTAGCTGATGTTCGCGATATGACCATGGCGAGTATGGCGATGGGTCATGTGATTACCACGATCAGTGCCATCGCTGTTGTTCTGAGGGCGACATGAGTTCCCTAGCATCAGTGTTTCATATTACGGTACCAATCGCGACTCTAAGCTTGAGTTGTGATTCAGATCATGGTGATCGCGTCATCACTTGGCACAGTCACAGTGCATCTGAATCAGCAGGCTCCTAATTTCGCGGAGCTGGTGCCTGTTCGACGGACAGCGAGGAAGGGCGGGGGAATGTGGCAACGGTTGCACTTAGTTAGCCGAAAAACTGTTTCAGTGGCACCTTTCCAGAAGGCCCAATCGCCGACAGTTCAACTTTCATTCGCTGACAGCGGTCGCTGAGGTTGCAAGTGCTGCAAGATTGAAAGTAACCGACACAGTCTCCGCGCAACACCGAAGAGTATAAAGCAACTTTGAAGCCATTAACACTAAACTGCCAAGCCCGCTCACACCGTTCCAAAAAGCGCATGCGCGGCGTGGCCTCCTGGTCCGCCAGACAAGTGGATGGCTCCGGGGGCACGCTGCGCACCTGTCCAGAAGATCCGGGCATGAGCTCACCGCACGAAGATGGTAAGCTGTAAGCCATGAAGATCTGTCTCTTTTGAAGCATAGTCGGCATAGCCTTCTGTTTCTATGGCGTTCTATGGTCCACAGCCCGGCCCGGCTGTCTTCTGCACGTCACAAGCACGCTGATCCTTTGACGGCAAGTCGCAGGTGTTGAGATTCTCTGCAGATCAGAGGCTCCACAACGAGCGCGAAGACAGGGCTTCTGCGATGAGCCATGGCGTGGTGAGCTGCCGGGGCGGGCCGTGCACCGGGCCGGGCCGCGCAGCTCCACTAGCAATGGCGGGCTGAGACTTGCCTGCTGGCGGTTCTGGAGGTGCAACAGGAGAGGCCCTCAAACACTGCTTCACAAGAACATAGCAGCAGCGACACCCCACTCGCTCCCACGTGGAAGCGGTGGCATATCTTCCCAGGTACCACTTACACCCAATGACTCCACGGCAGAGGTAGATGTAGTGCCATCAAACCCTCCGAGCACATACACAGAGTCCCCTGCACGGACAGCCGCCAGGTGTTTGCGTGGAGTCGTCAAGCTGGGAAGCACCTCCCATTTGTCCGCATCTGGGCTGAACCGCTCCACAAGACTGAGTGGAGTGCCTCCATTATAGCCTCCACAGACATAAATTTTCCCCCGCAGGGTCGCCGCAGCAGCGCTCCAGCGGGCAACCTTCGGTGATGGCAGCGTGATCCATGAGCTCGAAAGGTCGAGCCGCTGACAGCATCGTAGCGCCATGCCGCCTGAGAAGCCGCCGACAGTGTACAGCAAACCTCCTGCAGCCACAGCACTGCACCCGAAGCGAGGAAACGGAAGACTGGTTGCAGGCTCCCAGGCTTCTCCATCGCAACGCTCACACAGGTCAAGCTCACGCCCAGAACTCGTCCCGCCAACTATGTACACCCGCCCGTCGAGCACAGCCGCAGCAAACATAGATCGGGGACATGTGAGCTTCAGTTGCGACTGCCTTCTCCAAGCTGCGCGCTTTGGATCGAAACTGTCTACCAAGTCCAGGTCTTGGCCATCTGCATAGCCACCCATGACTAGAATCTCTCCTCGTAGAACGGCCGCGGTAGCAGCCCAACGTGCACCCGGAAGCTGCGCGACTTCCTGCCATGACTTGCTGTCGACATTCATCTGCTGCACGTGATCCTGGGCGGAATGGGCTTCCACCAGCTCGCGACCCCCGATGTAGAAGATGCGCAGTTGCAGCTTGGACAGCCTCTGCCGTTCTCGGTGAAGGTGGGCCTGCAGTCCTTGGGCCCAGCTTCGGCTGCTTGCTGCAAGACGCCCAGCCGCCACCTGGCCTGCAACTTGCAGCATTTCCTCCAGTAAGTCCTCAAAATGCCTCAGACCCATCAAGTTTGCCGCAGTCTTCTGCGGCTCTGTCTCATGGTGCTCCAACACACAGCCTTGCTGGGTCAGGCTGCAAGTTAACCTCCATCTCAGCAATGGCAGGGTCAGCGGGAGCAGCGCGGACACCCAGCTCAAGAAGCCTGCAGTGTTGCTCCGTTTTGCCACTGCCAGCCATCCAAAAAGCAGAAGACCAGGCCAACAGTTCCGAAAGGAAGGATCAAGATGTGGCATGACGCCCGTGCTCCATGTCGGCTGCTTACCACCGGGAAGCCAGTTGGGGCGTCCAGTCTTCCGGCGCTTAGTTCTGGGATACGGTAGTAACTAAGAACCCTACGCACCAGATCTTGTGTGGATAGGATGGTGAGCGCGCTTCCCTGGTTGTAACTGCATGTGACATTGTGAGAGCTTGTACGGCTTCTGACTCACTAGGTCCAGACTAGGCCCAGAGGGTGACGATGTTTCGAGTTGCCAGCTCCAAGATTCTGCACACCAGGTGCTGCTGCCGGATAGGACGCTCATGTGAGCTGTTATCGTGGTGTTCTTCAGTGCTAGTCTGTCTGTGGGTAGCCTCGTATGCTTAGTGCGGTTGGCGTTTTGCGACTCACCTAGCCTCAAAACGCAAACCCTTACAAACTACCCTTACCCAGCTAGCCCTGCGAACAAGAAGTTCAGCTTATACATGCCGCTTGCCGCCTGCCCACGGAGATGCAGGGATCGAAAGAGGAGCCGACGCAGAAGCAGTGGTAGCATCAGATGTCACTAGTAGCAACGGCAGGGCCCTGAAACTGAGAACTTCGAGTCCGACACACACCCATCTTGAGGCCTCTCATGGGCCGCATTGCGCTCCCAGAGCCTGTGCCTGTGGTGTCTATACGCAGGGTCCGTGAGATTGCAGGACACCTTGCTCGAAATCTATGTGACATGGGCCTCCACACGCTGTCGTGGTACTATGCTGGAAGTTCTAACAACTAATTTAATCGTTCAATGCAGGCAGGGCTTGCATTTTTGTCTTCGGAGATCTTTGCCAGCAACGGCGCTCTGTCATCACTTGCTGCTACTACCTCCTACCAGCACCAGCATTAGTGCTTTCAAAACCGCATGTTGAGATCTGGCGCTGCGGCGTCTGTTGACTGCTCAGGACGAGACCATCCTCTGGTGGGCCGCCTGGCGGGAGATGTGAAGTGTCTCGTTGTATTACCTGCGAATGATATTGAACATCTCCACATAAATGACACACCTCAAGGTTTTCGCCTGTGAAGCATGCGAGTTGCCCATTCGGCATACGAGTCCAGGGAAGCTTCATGATCGAGCACTCAGAATCCCTCACTCGAATACTAAAACCATCACCACCACCACTGCCATTGCCCTTGTCCTCACCCCAACGCACGGCCATATTTTCGGGAATATTTACGGAACTGATCCATTCGTAAAGGTCTCATTCGTCATTTTGCAGTCCTCAGACCCCGCATTCTTGCAGTCCTCCTGCAGTCCCTGCAGGCTATGTTGCTGCAGCTCTTGCAGCATGCAGTCCCGTTGAAGCCCCACGCCCCTATGGCTCTTGCAGCCTTTAGTTCCCTTCTTGCAGTTCTACCTTCTTGCCGTCCCTGCTGCTGCCTGCAGTTCGGGACCATTTGGTAGCGAAGAAAGAAACTCACACTCTAGCAGACACTCGCTCGAAAATGAAAACAAGTGGCTCTGAATGCAACCACGACTGCTTGCAACACTAACAGACAGTCATCACTCCAATCTCAAGTCTCAAGTCTCAAAGCTTGCCAGCATCGATTAAAAATAATCAGAAATATTTTTCGCTGCACAGCTGCAGCTCCGGACCTCCAACAGCTTAGATCCCACAAGTCCTGGCCTGCACCGGGCACGACCTCGTCGGCAGTAGTGGCTCGCGAGTCCAGCTCCTCCAGGCGCTTGGCGACAGCGTGGAACGATGCGGGATTACGTGCAACCTTTCCTGCAGGCCGTACACCAGCAGCGACACAACAAACACGCTCATCCTTCGCACAGTGCCTGGCAACTTTCGGTGTCTACAATACCATACGACTTCCTGGTTTCATGAAAAGCACTGCAGGCACACCCCAACGCGGGTCGGCGACATCGCCGAAATCGGACACGGTTGATTCTACAGCCAGCCAACAGCAGATACGCCACTCCAGCAATCTCCGAAGTACGCCTCCGAACGGCCCTAAAACCCTGAATCCCTGAGTTCCCGAACCGGTTTCGATCGGCCGTCTCACGCACTGTGCCCCCTTGAAACATGAAGGCTGTCTCTGCCAGGCCTCGCCGACCCTTCGCGAGCTGCTGATGGTGCGCTTTGGCTCCTATGCACGGGTAGAGCGTTTCTCAGTTCTCCCAATTTCAGAGGCGTGGCTGTTGTCCGCAAATAGAGGAAAAAACTGAATATATCCAGCCCAAACACGAGGCAATTCTCGGTGTGATTAGACTAGACTAGTTTAGACAGCTGCCTTGCGCAGGCAGTCTCTGTGCGGCGAACCAATGCAAAATACGCCAGCTCGACCTCCACAAAGTGTAAGACCAAGTGACCTGACACCCCATGATAACCATCACCACCACCACCACCACCACCACCCCCACCGGCACCGGCACCGGCACCGGCACCAGCCCCAGCCCCAGCCCCCAGCACCCGCACCCGCACCCGCCCGGCACCGGCACCAGCACCAGCACCGGCACCACCACCAACACCAGCACCAGCACCAGCACCAGCACCAGCACCAGCACCAGCGCCAGGACGAGACGACCAAGAACCACGACCCCACGACAACCGTGACCCAAAGCGAACAAAGACTTATCCTATTTACTCGGAAGAACCTGGTTACCACATTGTTTGGGCAACAAGTATCTGCATCAACACATTGATCTTCGCACATTGAGCGATGATAAGTCATGATCTCCTCTTCGGCTTCGCCTCGCTGGCTAGAAGCAGTCTCTTGATTCCAGGCCTGGCTTTGCAAAGTTTGATTGTATCAGGCAAAGACATTGGCCTTCGGGTTCTCTGTGCTGGGGATGACTGGGCCCCAAGCCACCGCTGGTCCGTTGTCGTTAGCCTCAGGCAAACAGAGAGGCAAACCTGCCCCCGAAAATCACGAGCTAAATCAAGTAAAGTAAGCGCTCCGTCTGACAGATTGTGATGGCATTACCCACACTCCCACTGCACCCAAATGAGTGCCCGGCCACGTTGCCTTCATCGGATACGACAGGATCCAGCGACCTTCCGCAGGCACATTGGTTTTCGACTCAAAACCGTCAGCGTCCGCGTGCTCCTCCCGAGACCATAGCCCGGCGCTCCAGTCTCAGTGTTTCCAAAACTGCGGGCAACTAACACTATGAAAATGCGGGTTCTTATTTCAGCGCAAAGGGATTCGGCTGTTGGTTGCCAGGCGCTGCGGTAGGCGCGTTCGCCGATTTCTAGCGAAATCTTCTCCCCAGTCCCACACGCCGCAGTTGATTGCAAAATCCAACGCAGCAAACTTGTACTTTGGCTTTTCTGAATAGCAAACCGTGTGCCAGTCCAGCTTTGGCCTTTCGAGTCGCCTGAGGTTGTTTAGCAGTTAGCAGGGCAGAGTGCACTCTTCGGATCTCGAGATCCCGCTGTTCAAAGCGGCTTGGTGGTCGCCATCATTATGAAGCCTGCTTTGCGGTATGAAACTTGCAACCGTCAAAGCAAGTGGTATAGCCTTCGGACACCCCAAATTCCAAGGTCACTCCATGACACCTTACGATAGACTCAGACGTCTGATAATGCTGTAAAGCCTAATGCTGACCACCCCTGGCGTGCCCGGTCTACCCTGACCCCTGAAAAGAAGCCTCGGCTTGACAGTGACGACTGTCGCCTCGGGAAGGTCGGTCCCTGGCTTGGCGCTGGGAGCCCGAGGAGTCTTCGGTCTAAGGGCTGCGCAGCAAATCAAGGTCCGAGTCTTGTAGGGCACATGCTGAGTCACTATCAGGAACTCCTAGCCTTGAGAACATTGTTCCAACAGAACTGGCGCATGCGTGCAAACCTGGAAGCCGTGCCTTTGTACTTTTCGGCGCTTACTGATGAGCCAGCGCCCATGGGGCGCGGCGGATTCAAGACTCGTTCTGCTGGTAAGCTCAGCCAGCTAAGCCTCAGCCCTGACGATGCAAATTAGCCAGGCACTGCACGGTGCTAGCTGCACGGTGCGATGATGGGTTGTCGCAAAACTATTGCTGCCGGCAGCAAGCTAACAACATTTCTTGTTCGGATGTCTGGGGATTTAGGATCGCCGGGTCGGACTCCCTATAGATAGCATACGTGAGGTGGAGCCGGCACGGTAAGGCTCCTTCTGCTGGTGGTTGTGCTGACCCCTTGAGCATCTAAACTACCATGTTCCCCAAACTCTGGGAGGAATGGAACCCTGCCCTGAAGCTGTCACAGAGCCGTTGCGGAAGGCAAGGACGATGATGCTGGACTCTGCAGCGGGCAGCTGTCCACATAACATCAGCTTCGAAGTTTAGGAACAATACTCCATTTCAATACGTAGTATACTCTTGCTGCTACCTCTGAATGTTCCAATGCACATGCGCTGTTGCAGCTTCGACTTACGATTCTAACGACACACTATTTAAAGCGACAGGAGCAGAGATCTCCGGAGCCCCTTGCCCTGATATCGGTTGTTCGCATCTGCTCTCACGAAACAGGCCTCGACAGACCCAACAGCCTACTGCGAAGCAATCGCAAAACGCTCAATGGGACGACTGGCAAAAGCCAGCGCATGTGATATCGTTGCCGCGACAATTGTAGCTGACTAGCCCTCTGCTCCCTGCAATCGAGAACGTTGCTGGTGCTATTGGTCTCGCACATCCTTTGTCCTCAGGGTCATCGAATTAGTATGCTCATTCGCATTGTCACCGTAATTAGTTTATGAATATCTGAATATCACTTCGAATGCTACAGCATTGCAACCCCTGGGACAGATGCTGCTTCGACCTGTGCTATTGCTGTCACTCCTGCCTTCACTCCTACTGTACTCTTGCCAGAACTCCTACTACCACCAACTTCGCCTCGCTCCTCCTCCTCCTACTACTCCTATTCCTACTCCTATCACCACCACCACCACTGGCACTGCTACTCCTACTGCCGCTGCTGCTGTTGCTGCAGCTGCTGCTACTGCTACTTTTTCCACCACAACAAGTTCCGATTACTGCTACTGCTACTGCTGTGCTGATCCCCTGTGTAGTATGTG